GGCTTGCTGGATTTTTATTTTTTTATTTTTTGCAATGGAAATAAAATTCATAACCATAGGTAAAAAAAAATTCAATTTAATGGACAATTTTCATGTAAAATAAAGCCAAACGTGAACAAAAAAATCCAAAATTTCAAAAATTTTCCGGGTGGAAAATTATACCAATCAAGCACACTTAATTAACAATTCCCTGAAAAACATTTTCTAAGCAATTACTTTCCCTGAAATTCATTTTATTTCCACCCATTTTCCACATTTGCAATCAAACGGACCCTAAATGGTCTTGAATGCTCAAAGGATGTCACTCAGACCACTGCATGCTATGAATAGCAGTATATCATTAATTATTATATTATTCATGTTTCCAATATTTATCTTTTGTGTTCGGGTTTTGTGGGTTGGGGAGGGGGGGCCTAGTGTGGTTGGAAGATAACAAGGAAAATAAAGCACCATGTATGCTGAAAAATAACACATGCATAAGCACATACAACTGATTAAATCCAGAGTCACAACTGATTAAATCCAGAGTCAATAGGACAATTCTCATATTCTCTACGATATAATTTAAACAAAACACGGTGATATATTTACAGTCAGTGTCTACTACATGAGGAAACTAGAACTTCAGAAGTAAAAATAAGACTTTTTTTTTTAATCGATGATCATATANTTTTTTTTTAATCGATGATCATATAATATACCTGTAGTTGTCAGGATTCATGGAAAGTAGCACTTTGTATAATTTTTCACCTTCTTCAGCATGGCCCAGCTTAACAAGAAGAGAAACCTCTTGTTCCTTGTATGATAATATATCAATCTACAATGCATATATCACCCACAGTTCAAAGTCTAGCTTGAGAAATAAGATTCGACTCAATTTGCTAGTAAATTAACTTACTACTACTTACAATTTTGGATTCCCTCTTGTGCAACTCCTCAAGAGCCCGATCAAGAAAGCCACATTCTTCTAGCAAAGCAATCTGAAAGAAAATATAATATCCATGTATCAATTAATTGCTACATATGGAAGAAATATCATAGTTCTGTAGGATCACTAACAAAAGTTCCCCGTACGTAATCAGCAATGGAACTATAACCAAAAGAACAACAGAAACTCAACATTTCTTGTAGAAACTGTATACTTTATTTTCCATGGAAATTCAATAATTCTCATATGATAAATTGAAGTTCAAATATCACCAACTAAACATTGACTTGCACTTGTGATGACAGCTGTCTAAACTAAAAGAAAGTTCAATGCACACTCAAATTAATTACTTTGAAGAGAAAGCCTGTTAATCACTAGAAAAGAATTTAATATCCATCAGAATTAGTAGAATCCAAGGTCTCTTGGGAATACAATCAGCAAAGTAGTGCAACAGCAAGATCCAAGCACACAAGTCCCCAAAATAAGTTCAGAATAATAGGGTTTTAGCATGATATCCAAGAAGACCCAAAGTTCTCTCGACCAAAGACATTCACCTATTCTTCTCAGGATATTCCTTGAACCAATATTTAACATATAATTCCACCCCCATCCTTTTCAAACTTGCTCTACCCAAAAATGATGGGCACGCACGTGTTGTATGAATTAAAATTGATGCAAGTATTTCCAAGAAATAGTCTCAAAATCTGATTCAGTATTTGTATGAACAATTATAATCTTGGAAACATCATTTCAAAGATGGGGAAATTTTTCTCGCTGGTGCATGTTATAAAATTGCCCAATATAAATGTCATATGTGATAGTTTCCTAAGAAAATGTACAACAGAGTCATCTCATGATATAACAAAATCTTCACATCAAGCAGTTAAGGGGTGGACGAGAGCAGAAGGAACAGTCCAAGCAATTTGTAGGAGTACATATATTTGCTGCATAAAACAGTTAAAGCCAATAGTAAACATGCCTTGTACAAGAGCATTTCTCCATGCTCGCAACGTTCATTGAAAGGAGGGTAGTCATCCTCCAAAGTCCCTTCATAAGCTTCAAGGATATCTATAGCCTTCATTCCACTAGCAAACAACAAAAGTAGATATTACATAATAAGGAAGCTCAAATAATACCCATTAACAAAGAAAAAAAACTTTCAGAATGACATTTTTCATTTTTGCATTTACGAAGTTTTAAACCGGTGACAACAATGATGACGATAAAGCATAACCGTACACAGTAAAAGCTTTTGACTTTATAAAGGGACGATGAAAGAAAATAGTATCCATGAAGAAAAATATATATAATGAAAATCTAGAACATGATATAATAAAACCATAAAACAAATCAGCCATTTTTACAAGCAACAGAGGAAAAGTAAGCATAGTAGCTCTTAGTTTTCTATATTAGACCCTTATTTAGAATCAAACTAGTCAACTAATGAAATAAACATAATATTTACAGTAAAAGCTAAAATTGTATTTTGCCAAAGTAATGGATATATGGGGACATATTTATCTATTCTAAGTGAAGATACAAAGTACAATTTAATGCAAATAATTTGTGTTTTTCATAACTATTTCTACAAAGATAATAAGTCTGTTTGGGTTTCATTTTATTTTGCTAAAATTCTACTTTCCAAAAAGTGAGTGACTGATAAGTAGACAGAATCCTACGAAACTTGTGGTTAAAATTAATGTATGACTTTGAAAAGTAGAACTTAAGGAGAAGAAATTGAAACACTAATGGACACAATAATCCAGTTCGTCAAAAATATTCATCTGACATAAAGCGGAGTGCAATTTGGAAAGTTGTTGAGAAACCAAAAAATAATATTTGGATAGCAATAAAGGAAAATAAATAATGTTTAAATACTTGGAGTTCAAGTGATGAGAAACAGCAAAACCAATCCAATTCATGCGATGATTTGGTTTAAGCGTGAGCAATTGTTGTCTTGTCTCAACAAAACCTGCCAAGTCACGCATCTGTGCCTGTAAAAGAATCATTAAAACGTAGCACAAATTAGCTGCACAGTGCAATATAAATTGTAGACTTACAAAAGGGTAAATAGAAAGATGAAAACATGGAATAATTACGGGGTGAAACAAGCGCAGAATAAAAGCTAGTTAGCCTTTTAACTTTACACTAAATATGAGGTCTTATTTTGGTTTCATTACAGAGAGTGAAATGTTTTCAATTGGAGAATTTACTTTTGGTGTGGTATTGCATCCATTTATCTTGCATTTTAGGCTTTGTGAGGCTGCATAAACTCAGCTTATGCACGCTGTGATCGGCTGATAGCTGATAACTAAAAATTAGGAAAAAGGCTTGCTGTTCAGTTCAATTTAATTATTTTCCCTAGTTTCTGCTTGATGTGTGACTATTACCAAAAGAGAAAAAAAAATGTAGGTAACAACACTCAGGAATATATTCATATCCCAATTAATACAGCAGGCAAATGTTTTTGATAAACCTAGTATCAACCAACGTAAACACATGCCAACACAAAAGGACACAAGAGGAAGAAACAACAATGTCAAAAAGAACAAAAATATGGCTATCAGGAATTTTCGCAAAAAAGACTGTTGCTCAGGATAATTTCTTCACCAGTGGCATTGCAAAAGGCAAAGCTAGTGCCAAAAAAATTTTATTGCTTTTGGCATAAAATTCAACAGTAGCATGTGAAAGATCTTCAGACATTCCAGTCTGTAAGCAGATAACAGAAAAGGAGAAATGAAAATAAGTATCTCTACCAATGTACCTGTAAAAGAGACAGATCACGCAGTATTTCAATGTTGTCAGGATCAATTCTAAGTGCATTCCGATAGCACTTAATTGCTTCCCTATATTCTCTATCAGATCGATACAGAAGACCATAGACATGCCAGCAAACATGGCTCTTAAGATCATTCTGCGAGACATGTGAAATTCCAGGTGATGCAGCGATCCTAGGTTATCAATGATTTTTCATAATAATAATGATAGTAACAGCAACGATGATAACAACAATAATAAATTAACCTTCAAACCCAGCCTGACAAGTTCATATGCTTCTGACTTCCTGTCCATGCAGTTCAAGGTTAATCCCTTCATCGATAGAGTTTCTGAAAACCAGGAAAAGATACCAAAAACTATAGAGTTGGAACTTGAAATACGAGAATAGTAAGAACTAAAATTCAATGCAAAAGGGCAAAAAAAGGAGAGAGGAAAATATCGTGTGCGTGTATTTACCTTTATATGTTTCATACAACATGTACTTTAACTACCTTTTTTTGCCAAAATAACCCAAGCAGGAAAAAATAATGAACGGGTAATGGATCTTGACTCACTCTTCCAGGATGTTAATTCGACTTCCTTTTGTAGTTCTTTAAAATCTTTTTTAATTGTGTATTAGTCATGATTATGCCCATTAAATTGGGAATAACTAAATTGTATCCTCAAAAATTCATTAAACAATGAATGTAAGAAAAATAGTGTGGCGTTATCCATAATTCTGAGAAAACCTTGGTAAATTAACAGAATTTGAATCCAACATCCTCTTGATTTATGCCTGCACTGACTGGAAACAAGTAAATTGTGCTAAGCTTCCCCACATCATAGCCATCGAGATTCTAGGGCTAGAGGGTGTTGCAAGAGTCTGCATCTCCCGGCTTTTGGTGATATCAGAACATAAAGAAAAATGTAAAGTTATTTCGACTCCTGAATTGCTTCAAAAATATATTTGTTTCACACTAGACAAATAGTTGATTAAGTAATTGATCTTTAATCGTGAAATTTCCTACAACTTATTATTGAGATTTAATTGCGAGATTCCCTACAATTCTTATAGACCTTTAATCACAAGATTTCCCACAACTTCCTCCTAGAACTTTAAACGGACATTAACTCCAATATCGAACATTTAGCTTTCAAAGAATAAGAAAGCATATAACTTAATCCCACAGTGAAAAATTCTAAGAATGAGAATCCTGTTAGTAGAAGATCGTGTATACCAAAAAAGGGATTGCATGCCATGCATATGCTACTTACAAAAACCACGTGATATTACCAGATAATATTCCTGCATACCTCCATGATCAGGAAACTTCTTCAGTATAGTATCAGCAGCTTTCAACCCCTTTTTATACTGTTTTGTCTCGTATGATTTCTGCATAGATCAAGCAATAAAATTAAGTTCCATTCTGAGAAGCAATAGATTTAGCAACTGCAGTGGGAAGAGACTTTTGCTAATGGATAAGATGAGATCAATAAATCCCATCTGATAAAAAAATCCAATGTTCGTTCTCTCATTGATAAACAAGTATTATAAAATTACTAAAGAGGTGTTCCACTGACTCTTGTTCTATAAATTGATAGAAGGCAAGGTCAGCAAAATTGATGTTTATTTGACACACTGACGAAAATGACAAACTAGAGAAACATTAACATCGATATTCATGTGACTTTTCAAAGTCCAATTGAAAGGGTGCAGCAGACATTTGTGCTTAAAAAGTGGTGAAATATTCCATCGTCATGTCCTGAAATTATGTTCCTTCTTTTTCCTTATCTCAATCATAATTTCTTACACCTAGGCCGAAATTCAGCATTCTGTGAGAATCAATGCATATAATGGCATCGAGTAGCCATAAATTGCTTAAATTCACTTCGTGCAAATGGGCTGCTGATTTTTCATTTATTAAAATAAATACTAATCTTATGCCAAAAATAAAAGGCATTCCTTTCTCACAGAAGCAGGAGCTTCTATCCCAATTGTACTAGAATTTCTATAAAACAAGACTTAAAATAACATACAAATTGCACATAATCATTTAAGAAATACATGAAGCATGATCAATTACAATGAATTTCACAAAGAATAAAAAAAGATCATCAAATGAACAAAAAAAATCTAGGTCTTTCTACTAAATTCAAAATGGTGGAATTAAAATCTACGAAGTTTCAGTAAAATTTATCAGTAAAAAT